ACCTAAAACCAAGTTTGAATATGATACGTGTGACATTTGGTTTGTAGTAGTCTGACTGGCAGTGAGAGATTGTGTAAACACAGGAGGGACATAGTCAGCTGGCCCGGGCGGAGTTTGACCCTTCCTCGCTGACCGGAGCGAGGGTATGAAATATATCAAGTGGATCGCTTTCTAGTGCCCCCATCCCTTTCCGATGATGTGACTTAAAGCATTTGAAGAACTTTTATTTATCTTCTTCCTCTGAAAGTAAGAAAAATGCGCGGATTTGTATCTAAACCTAACCATATGTAACCAAGATGTACTCAGGAAAACTTTAAACCGAGCGAGCCCCAGGCATTCAGTAGTAGACAAACACCTGCAGTGACATTTGTGTGATGATTTGAAGTAGAAAATGCAATTTGAGAATCTGTGTAAAGCCGCCCCGACCTTAATTGGCCAATTTGCGTGCACACTAGGAGGCAGAAATGAACAAAACACCGGCCATGCATTACGGTGACGGCTTATGTCGAAGACGAAAAATCAAAAAGGACCCTCAGTGTTTCTGTTTTGAAGCCGTTTTGACCATTTATTTCAAGGATACGAATGACATCCGCCGTAGCATGCATGTGTGTTTCCTCAAAATGTAAAGACCATATGACACCAACAACACTGAAGTGCAACAGTTCCTAAAAAAATAGTCAAACATGATTGGTATTATTCAATGAAAGACGTTTGTTTCAAAAAAATTCCAGATCCAAAAGCCGGGATGTGCCTGATAAGCAAAAGAAGGGCTGACATTCTGATGTTGATTATTTTTCTCTTGTCCCAAAAGTGTCCCAAAGTGTCTTTTTAGTTGTCCCGGTCTAAATATTAGTGGTCAGTGGCAATTTATTTCGAGCCCTGTCAAGGTATGAAAAACGGTTCTGTAAATGTTGCTCTTCCAGATCTTCACATCTTCTTCGTTCTGGACCATATGGGCAGGAAGGGTGAACGATGTCCTGTGTGAGACCAGGGTGGGAGGGAAAGCGCCTGACGCCCCGCTTCTGTACCGCGACGGACTCAAGCAAGCACGGCTGTTGGACTTCGCTAAGAAAGGTGAGCTGGTTAACTGGTTAGCGTTTAGTTAATTGATCGATGCTTAGTTAGTTGGTTGTACCAGGGGTCCTAAAGAATTCATACGGATTTTACGGAATTCATACGACTTTTACTAAATACATACGACTTTTACTAAATACATACGATTCATTACGATAAACATACGAATTTTACGGCATACATGCCATTCATTACGCGGAAACATACAATCCTTACTAGTTTGGTGAGTCAGGCGCAGTAAGGATCGTATGTTTCCGCGTAATGGATCGTATGTATTCCTTAAAATTCGTATGTTTCTCGTAATGGATCCTATGTATTTAATGAAATTAGTATGTATTTCGTAAAATACATTCTTTGGCCCGTCTACTGTTGTTTAGATTGAACGTGAACGTGTGTCTTCCATCACCTCAGGGCGCCCCCTAGTGGTGAACTTCGGCAGCTGCACCTGACCCCCGTTCATGGCGCATTTGGCCCGGTTTAACGACCTGGTGGCCGAGTTCGCCGACAGGGCAGACTTCCTGACGGTCTACATCGCCGAGGCGCATGCGTCAGACGGGTGGTCTTTCCGCAACAACATCAAGATCAGGTCATTAGTATAGTATTGATAATCATTACAAATTAATGTAATGTAGCAAGTATTGTAATATAGTGCCCAAAATGCTGATCCCAACTAGCTATAGCCTGGCCACCGAACCTATTCTATCTGCCGAGTCTCCTTTGTCGGAGTTTGTCCTCTCCACATCGTGGTGGGCCTAATCAAACTCCCGCCGTGAAAAACCTCCCGGGGGAAGCTAGCTCAGGCGGGCGGGGAAGAGCTTCAGCAGCCCCGAAGAAAACCCGACCCAACCACGATGCACTGGATACCAGGTTAATATAGATTCTGATCGCATTAAATCACGAGGACTACTCAATTCTTAGGCATCATCCTTGTAAATCTTACTCAGATTGCTTTAAGAAAATTCAAGATGAAAAGATCTCAGATCCTGCCGAAGAATGGCAGCAGTTGCAGCAAAAAGGGCTTCAAGAGGATTTGAGTGATATTAAATCCGTATTTGAGAGGGCGAATTTCCGGCCTCATCATCACTAAGTAATTATAGCTTGCTCGTTACTAATCGACTGAAGGCGACGCTCATGTGGATTATATGTGCTGAAAGTCTTCATGACTTCCTACGGATACATGGGATCACGTAAATCGCATTTGGTTACTGATTTTGATGACAAGGACGGGGAAGCTAAGTTTATAAGGAAAATGACAGAAGAGGTCAAAGGTTTTAATATTATAAGCTGTAAGGTTTGAACCACTCACACCGGGAAGAACCCCTGCTCTTTTCAATAAGTGTCGTGGTATCCACTACCGTGCTCAAGGTATAACTCTCCTCAAACATGGGACCTCCGGCTTTACGTCCTGTCCAAGAGGATGTCCATAACCGAAGATAGGTACTCATTTTGTAAGCAAATAGGTGTCAAATGTGTCAAGGGCCTTTCCCAGGGGCACGTGCACAATAATGAGGTCTCGTAGATTCGAACCCAGAACTTTCGGATTCTGAGTCATCAACACCGTATACACCCCGATATTGTTCTGTTGTGGTTTGCTTTTCGTACAATTTGATCGTTGGTTAATTTTACTTTTTAGGAAGCACCAGACGTTACAGGAGCGTCTGGCAGCAGCGGAAATGTTGGTAAGTAGGGAGAGAGGGAAAGAGAGAAAGATAGAGGGAGGGAGGCAGACAGTTTGATTTCCGTTTTAGGAATGCTCAACTGTTGCATTGATGCGTGATGAAAGCTCCTTGATTGATGCTAGAAAACGTTTGACGCATATAAACGTTTTGTTAGTGATACCCTGACAATGTATAATCTTGTTACATTATTGTTATCATAGTTGTTTGTACTATTTTCGTTTAAAACAATATTGTTGTTATTACATAATTGTTGTTTACTGTTTGCCAGGCCGACGCCAACCTATCCGGTCCGCTATTGGTGGACACCATGGATGACGTAGCCAACCGGAAGTACGGGGCGTGGCCTGAGCGGCTGTACATCCTGTTGGACGGCAGGGTCACGTACAAGGGAGAGCCGGGACCACACGGCTATCACGTGCACCAAGTCAGGGACTGGCTGGAAAAATATCTGAGGGGTTAACTCATTTTACATTCCTTGCCTTTCACAACAAACTGATTTTGCAGTTTTTATTGTCTTTTATTCGCACGCTCGCGTCAGTTTTGAGGTTCCCAAATAAATTGTCATCCATATAATCAAATTAACATGGCCTAAGGGGTGTTGTATTGTTGCTGAATAGTACTACATTTGTATTGTTATACCTTTATTCTACACATGTATTTCTTCTTCTTCTTTAGGCCACACCAATTTAATTTGTTGGTTCTCGGATTCGCCTCTTAATTTTTTCTGATTTGCAAAAAAAAAAATCTGATTCTGAATCAACTCAAATATGCTCATATCCCCCCTCCCCAACAGGAAAGTCCTTTTCTTCCTACTAGTTACAGTTTTCCCATCTATCAATGCAGTGGTTTGATTAAAAGTTCAAAATTCATTGTTTAAATACCAACCCAGCCTTTTGTGTTGACTTCATGTCATTTGGGGCTATAATAGGATGTCTAGACCTTTATTTTTATTTTTTTCGCCCAGTCGCTTCATATTTTTTCTAAAAAAAAAATCCGAAAACCAACAAATTAAATTGGTGTGGCCTTATGTCAGTTCGACACCCAGAAGACCGATGACATCTAGCAATGTACAGAGCTCTGTGGAGCGTATGAAGGATGAGACCGACCCTCCTGAGTTGAGAGGTCTTGTCCGGAAAAAGAATGTCCATAGTTTCTGCAGTGCTATATGACATAGGTAGGGGGCGCTGTACTGTGATGTAATGTATGCTTCATGCCCAAAGGTGATCTTTACTATTTGTCTAAATGTGAAATAAATTACAGACTGTTTTAAGACTATGTTGTGATTATATCATTGAGTGAGTGAGTCAGAAGATAGAGAGTACTTGCGCCTGATACTTAATGTCAGGTCTTATTTAATTAGTGTTAGCTAGGTAGTTTCAGAATTCAAGATCCGTGAAAATAATCGTATACGTTGTAAGAGGAGGCCAAACTTTTTACGGTTGGATGGGTTTCACTCATGACTTATTTTTTTCTACCTTTTAGTGCAACATGATGAGGTCAACAAGAGTTAGTTCCGATGTAGTTTCTTTCTTGTAGATGTATTTTCAAGTGGCAAGAATGAAAATTGACCGAACTCAACTCGAAAATACCTTCAAAGCATATACACACACTTCTTAAGCCCCTGTCACACATTCAGGACCTTCCTCGAACCTTGTCCCTTTAACACCAGCCGACCACGTTCTGGAGCAATCTGGCCAGATTTGGGTCGCGCCTAACTTAATATACGAGTCGAAACGAACTCGAACCGACCAACCGACCCCCGAATGTTTTACTCATTTTGAAACATTCGGCTAGCGCCGCCGAATAGTAGCCAATCTCGCCGAACACCAGCCGACTTTGCCCCGACCTTCGGCTAGTGTTCGGGAGGCCAAAAAAAAATGTGAATGTGTGATAAGGCTTTACCCTGGGGAAAAGATCGTTGTATACTTATTTTCCGCTTGAAAGACCTGGGATACATTCGTTTTTGTTTTGTTTTTTCGTGGCTCCCATTTTTGACAACATTCGCGACTATAAGCCTACTGAAAATGCTACATCAGAAAACCACAATATCCAAACCCCCGTGTTAGTAGATCTTACTAGAAGGCTACAAAAAGATCTGTTGGGAGATATGTTGTCTCGGCTCTCACATACTTGCAGACAACTCTCCGTCCGTCTATCCGCCCCGTGGAACGTTGACCCGCATCATGGATGAGGAAATATCCACGTGCCGTCCAAACACCTGTTGGATTCGTGCCGTGCAGATGATGCGAAAAAAACCTAACCAGTGCACGCCATGAATCTACAAAAATGTATATGGATATCTGTGTAACTTATGCATATATCGTTGCAGTTGATGAAAGCAAAAACCATTCAAAACGTGAATAGGCCTTGGCCATAAATTTCGTATTCTCTTTGCATTTGGCTGCGCTCAAACTGATACCAGCGTATACTGTAGGCTGCATTGGCATGTGGGTTGTTACGTAGGACCTGTAGATAATTACTACATGGGATAGTTATAGGACCGGTCGGGTAGCCGTCATCTTCATTCTAACATCTGCGCGCGTGGACGCGAGAGGACCTGCTTTTGTTTCCAAACATTGTTCTCACGAAATCTCGACCGGGTAGTCCGTCCTACTTCTCTCGGGCTAGCCCTTAAATACTGTGTATTGGGGACGTCACAGCTAGTACTGGACGCTGTTCTACCTTAACGACATGCAGAGACCAAACAGCAACCCGCGCCCGGCGTACTTCGGCGGTTCCCGTGCCGAGTGGGTCCTGAAGACGATCGGCGACTTGGACGACAGGGCCCGGACCTTGCGGTGCATGCACTGCGCCGGGCAGGCGACGTGGATCTGCCTGGACCCGGTGTGCGTGTACTACAACCGGGAGAGGGTGGTGTCTCTGTGCGACGAGTGCGACAAGCGCTTCCACCCGACGTCAAGTCTCATCATGGACAGCCACCGCCGCATGGGAGTAGCGCTGTACATCTCCATGCTGATGCTTCACCGCTACCACAGAGTCATTGGGACGATCGCTGAGACAATCGAGCGCGGTAAAAAGTCCGCTCAGGCAGACCGCAGAGAGGCTGAGTTGACGCGGCTTTCAGGGGCGACCCTCCCCGCGCTCCGGTCGCGGTCTCCCGCCACGTCGGAAGCCTCCAACCCGGTCAGCCCCGACAGCACGGAGATCTCGACAAGTAGGAAGAAGAGGAAGCATGAAGAAGCGGACGACACAAGTAAACCAGTCACCAGGGCGCCCTGCACTGACGAAGACCGCCAGGTTCAGTTCTCTATCGCCGAAGTCCGGCCTATCCACGAGTCGTACGGCCGGATCCTCGCACGTCTGAGGGACGACCAGTCTCTGTCCGTCTCCGAGGCCTGCATCCACGAACCTTTCGGCAAGCTGACCGTCAGAAACTACGCCGCCATCGCCGAGCTGAAGATCGTGGACGCCAAACTATACACCTCCGTGCTGGACAGCTACATGCGACAGGGCGACGGGAGCGGCACGCTGTCGGGGTTCGAGCGGGAGTGTCGGCAGGTGTTGTCCGGGTACTTCCGACAGGTGGCCGCAATGAGGAACAGGAGAGAACTCTTGCCAAAATTTGATATCCCTAACTAAGAACTAAAACTTAAC